CATAGTCCAGCTTCTCCTCACACAGGCTGAGAGAGGGGACAACAGAGGGATTCTGGGTAAAATGTTTGGGGTCCCATTTGGTGACGTTTACCAGACATTTAAGGATGGTGAAGAAACAGGAATCATTGGAAATGGGAAAGAAAGGCACAGCTCAGCTATGGGAGTAAAAAGGAAGTTAAAATGTATTCAGTGTAGTGGCTCACCATGACCTGGAAAAGAGTCAGCACTGAGAAGGACTGAGCACAATGGGCACTGCTATATATTTTACTCAGATAGGCTACATTTTCCTTGTGGTAGGTTTGCTAAGGGAGTTTTCCTAGTCACTTGGGATAACTGCTTTTCTGGCATGGGGTAGTACCCATGGAGGTAATATATATCTAATCTCCCACTTTCCTTTCCAGTGGGAAGAACTTGGCTTTATGCGCACTTTATGGAACTGGGAAACTTCTCCCTAGCTTGTTTCTGTAGCCATATAACTGAGGGCAAGTGAATCCTGGGGCCACCCAAAGCCATTGGCCTTGGGCCTGAACGTAGGATGCCTGCTAAATGATTTGGAAACATCTGAAAACCCAGGTGGGGGTAAAGGATGTTTACCAATAGTAGGGCCATATATGGTTCTTGAATGACTCATGGATTTGGAATTGATTTGGCTTGGAACACAAAAAATTTTCCTCATAAAAAAGCGAGGGCTGATTAGGGAAAATAAAACATCTTATATTTGATTAAATATATGATATTTGGAAGTGTAGCATCAGTCTTGCTTTTCATAAGACCTCAGCTGTTGCACACAGTGCTCTAGGATTTACAACCACCCAGCAGTCATCAGGAAATTGCCATAGTCAGATCACACTAGTGGCAGATGCTAAATGAAAAGGTACCACAATCTCCATAACAGAGCAGGCTGCTTATAGTTTTTTCTGAGCTGTGTCCACTAGTAGTTTTAAGGCACGTACCTTCTTCAACTTATCTAACAGTGTAGATGATCTAAATAGGTGTAAACAGTATAGATGATCTCATTTCTGTAAATAGCTGATCCCTTAATAATCCTTCTAAACTCTTGCTCTCACTGGCGTTTTGTGACAAAATGATAATGTCTGTGTTTCTTTTTGATTAACTGTAAATGTGCTACCTTTCAGTTTCCTAGTGTTCCCTTTCTCTAGTTTTATGAGAGAACTGGGCACTTCTGTTTATCTTGTTTCTCCCACTCATTATTACAATGGTGCAGTAGCAGTCCTGTAGAGAAGGCCAACACTAACTTGTTGCTTTTCTACTTCTGTTATGTCTTAGGCTAAATACAGACATTCAAAAAACCCAAGCCTGAATTAATTCAATTTCTGCAGGTTAGTCTAACCTGCATAGATTGAGCCAGCAAGCAGATGAATAGACAGTCACTTTTGATTCTAGAAATACAGCCACATGTCTGCAGTGGCTCAGGTCAGAAGCCAGGGGGTGCTAGTGCAAGCCCTTGGCTGGAGGGAAGCTGAGCTGAGAGGGGTCATGGCCAGGCCCCGGCAGTCTGACTATGATTGGGTAGAGGTTTAAACCCCCATCGTGGCATATATGGTCCCCAGCTGGGGTGTGCCTGGAGGGGGAAGGGGGAAGCAGCCCCTGCCAGGCATTTCCCACCCATGCCCCTTGTTGCTTGAGTGGAAGGGTCATGGCCAGCCCCAGCAGCAGCCTGAAGCAAATTGGGGGTTTTGCTTCAGGCTGCTGCCAGGGCTGGCCAAGCCCCCTGCTGCTTGAACGGCGAGCGGGGCAAAATGTCTGGCAGGCTGCTGCGCCCCTGCCTGGCAGATCCTGCCTGGGGTCCGTGCTGTTGTGGAGAAATGAAACCCGCATCTGTCTCTCCATTCACTTCAGGCTGCTGCCGGGGCTGGCCACACCCCTTGCTGCTCAAGTGGTGATGAGAGGGAAATGCCTGACAGGGGATGCTGTGCTCCCACCAGGCAGACCCCGGATGGGGTCCCCTGGGGGAGAGAGGGGAAAGAGGGGAATAAACCCCCTCACTGCCCTCTTTGCCTTAGGGGCCATGCCAGGTCAGCATCTGGCCACACCCCCTGCTCTTGCTCCAGCTAGACAGCAGAGGGGCGGAGCCAGCCCTGCTCTCTGGAGCAGACAGCACAGCCCAGACCAAGGCTGCAAAGCATGCTGGGATGCTGGGGGACTCTGATTTAATTTAAATCAAGAAGGGGTCTGGGACAGAAGTTACAGAAACTAGTTTGACCTCAGTCAGTTAAGTCTGACTCTGCATTCAACCAGATTATGTTAGACTAGTTTTGGCCATTTTGAAACTGGTTTATGTGCACTGAACTTCTGTTCTGTTACAGGTTTAAACCATTTTCTGATCACTTAACCTGGTTTATGTGTAACTTCTGTCCTTATGATTGGCCTGTTCTTTAACCAGGTAGTCCCCACCTGGTAGCTTGCAAGTGAAGTGTTGTCTCTGACTTTGCCTGCAATCATAAGAAAGTTTGCTTTCCGCAAATACATGGGCAGATCTAGGATTTTGAAAAGGGACTTTTGGGAGATGCAGCTGGCACCTCTGGGATGGCTGCAGTCATGCACCCCAGCCCTGCAGGCAGACAGCACCATGGCAGCAGTTGCCAAGGACATCTTTGAGTCCTGGAAGCAGATATAACTAATGACAGAAGTTATCATTTATAGATGCTCCCTAACAGGAGGCTCAGGGAGTTGGGCACTGTGAGATGGCCCCTCAGGGAACAGGTAGTTGGGAGTCAGTGAGTGAGAAACAGAGTAAGCAGAGCTTCTTTACTGTTCCCAAACAAAACCTGTTGTGTAGTTCTTTTCATTCATGTATGCCTGTGTTAACTGAACCCTGTGATCTCTACACTGCCCACCTCTGCTCTGGGTACCCATTTCCCTGGCACTCGGTAGCACTTTTTTCTCTCCTCCCATTCTTTCTTCCTCCACTCCAGCTGGGTTTGGAAATTAAGGTATAGGAAGTCAGGGGGACAGCAGCAGCAGATGAGTTCTCATTTCTCTTCATATGAAAGTCTCTTTATGCCTGTAATCATGTTTGGACTCTTTCTGGTATTTGAGGTAGCATAGCTAGCACAGAGTTGCAATCCAGGTGTGTGTGCTGGGGTATTTTGTATGAATTGCCATATGCTATCCAATCCTATTTTCCCAGGTTTTTCATCAAGGGCGTTAGATCACGTATCTGGTCTAACATGGAGACTCATTGTGGAGCTGGTGGTGACAGAGAAATTCGCCTGCTAGCCCCAAAGGCATGAAGTATTTATTTTGTTTCAGACTGAGAATTTGTTTCTGCTTTCAAATGACCTGACTGAAGCCTGTTGGCTACAATGGGTTTTGGTGGGCATCCCCAGAGTGCACACAGAAAATCCTTGTTTTGGAGCTTGTAGTTTGGATTTTGGATACCCATCATCTGAAAAGGAAAAAAGCTAAATAACTCTTTCCTCATCCTGCTTCTCCCTTCCCTTCTTTGTCTTCCCATCCTGCCTTTGTAGCAGGCTGAATGGCATCCTTGCCATCCAACTGACATTTCCATCTAATCTTCTTGCTCATTCATCCATTGGCTATTTCAAATGAAAACATCAGTTCCAGTGTCCCTGACTTAGCTGGCTTGCTTCCTGTGTTTTCATTTTCTGTAAATTTGCTAGTGAAAATGCCCGCCAAAGAAAGCAACCATTAAAAAAATACAGTCCGGAAAATTGGGTTGCCAGCCCAACCATAGCTTCCTTAACAGTCCTTTTTGCTTTCAGTTCATTTCAAACATGAAAAAAGATCTGAACTTTAGAGTTATTGATTTATTTCCATGTTTTTCTTTTGTTTGGTGGTTGTAGCTTATGCTGCCTGCTCCACTCCAAGAGTCTGTATTTAGTATGTGGGTTTGTGCGTATGTGGGGGGGTGGTATTTGTATTAATTTTACAAAGTAAGCATTTAGTGCAAATGGTGCAAGAATTGACGTCACAGTCAAGTATGCTATATAGAAAGACAAAGGAAGAAGAATGATTCTGTTAAAATCACAAGACTGGGAAGATCTGGCTTTTATTCTATACTCTGTGACTGGCTTAAAAATTATTTTGGACAGATCTCTTGGCCTAAATCTTCATAAGCAGCTTCTGATATTTAGTGTCTTCATGTTTTTCTTTTAGCTTTATCTTCCTCTAAAATTGAGTGCATGTGACTTCCTCTGAACTGTGCAGGCAGGACAATAGGCAGAGGGAGTCTGGTGATCTGCGTGTTTGTAGCAGTGGGAACTTAGGGTAGGTGATGCTGAAAAACTGACATTCTTACTGAGATGGAGTTAAGGTTGTTTGCAGTGCAGAATAGTCGTTCTAGTAGTTTGGTTTATGCCTCAGTGTGGAAGAGGACCTTAAACCTTTATTTCCTTGCCTTAGGGTTTGTGTTGAGATGTGCGCATGTGTGCCATAATTTTATCTGATATAGAAATTTGGGGGCAAGAAAAGAACTTGGTAACAGAGATGAAATTCTGCTAGGTAATTGCAATTTCTTCTGACCTGTAGTTGAGAAAACGTCTTCTAGGATTTGCAACAAATGGCTTTTCTGTCTATAACCTGTGGCATGCTATGGGGCATCTTACCCTATGTGTTCTGCTCTGTGTTTTCCATGGATATTGCTGCCTCTACATTCTTGCCACAAAAATAAATTACAAGGCATACAATAGATATATATATAATATCATAGAACTATAGCAGGTGGTATTCAAATCCTATAGAACTGAGTAGGCACATAAATAATTGGCTTCCATATCAATAACTCTGAAGAGCTATAAAAACTATTTGTTTTTTATAGATGTTTTGAAGTATATAAGTCTCTAATTAATTAAATCTTTTAGGATTGTTAAAAAATAACAGTGGAAAAGTTCTCACTTTTTACTCAATAGGAGCTCTGCATGAGGGAGTTATTGATTCCTCGGTAAAAACAAATTTATAATTCAGTAACTGCTTTCACAGGCTATTTGTAACACATTACTTTTTGTGCTTCCTAACAGAAAATTTGTGTACTGGAGCCTGAAGGTCGACTGAAAATGGACTTTGTTATCAAGAAAGCGGAGGCCCTTCTTCGCTGCATCAGTGAGGATGAAAAGCACAAAGTACTCTCCAAACTGAAAGACATTAAGGCCATGTGGGAAGAAACAGCCATATACATTACTCACTGTCACAGGTAGGAAACATATACTATTTTTCGATAAAGTATGTGCTTGATGTGTCAGGTCAGACTGGCTCATGCAGTTCTGTCACAAAGAACTCCCTGCATCAATGCCATATTGTGGATAGCGGGATGCGAGAAAGTAGACTTCTCTAGGCTGCAGCTGCTGGTCCCATGCATATAGTTGGGGTGGGTGAACAGAAAAAAGGTGGAGCCTTGACTCTATCTTCCCTCACACTGCACCAGCCCATAATCTTTGCTGGGCAAAGGGTGTTTCCCCCTACAGCAGAATGGAATTGGGACATGGGTTGTGACACTCTGAAGCCAGAGGAGCTAAGATGAGTTATTCCACCTGAGATTGTGACCATTTGGCGCTGACATTTTTTTTAAGCATCTTGAACTTGCCATAATCTCCACTGGTACTGAGAGAATCTCATATTCCTCACTTTCCCCAACAGCCGTATTGAATGGGTGTGGCTGCACTGGAATGAATACTTGAAAGCCCAGGATGAATTTTACACGTGGGTTCACAACATGAAGGTGACCTTGGAGCCAGACATAGAACTGCAGCTTGGCTTGAAAGAGAAGCAGTGGCAGCTGAGCCACTCTGAGGTGCTGCTGAATGACGTCTTAAATCAGTCAGTCCTGCTGGAAAGGCTCCTGGAGGAAGCTGCTTCCTTGTTTAACAGGATAGGTGACCCAAGTGTTGATGAGGATGTCCAAAAGAAGATGAAGGTGGAATATGAAGGAATAAAGGAAGTAGCTCAGGTAAAACTGAACTATAAAAGACAAGAATGTTTAGGATCTCACCAGTCTCTAGTAGCATCCATTGTTAGGTGCTTCCTACATCGCTGTTGTAAAAGCTAAGATTTACTCAGCAAGATGTGTGAGAATAACAGTATTAACATAAGGAAGGTGCAAAGGTTTGCTTGTCTTTTAGTATAGCAAGGACTGCACCATGATACTCATGTTAAGTAAGCTATTTGAAGAGCAGAGGCATCAACGCAACAATGAATACTGGCAAGTGGCTACTTTCTAAGTACAGATGAGGAGCCACTTGTCTTATTCCCAGCCAAGTGGCAGGCAGTGAATGTTCTTGCTCAAATAAAAAACATTAGCAGCCAGCCCTGAGCACCAAAAGATATTCAGTTCCTAATCTGTGTCAATCTCAAGAGTCTAGTGGTCATGTAAGAAGAGAGCAAAAAACACTGACATCTTTTAGTGTCAATGGCTTTGACAGTTAGTGTGGGTTAAGAGTAGAGATGAGATTGGTATTATTTACTTCCAGAACTGGTGGGATAGGACATGCCTTTGGGAAAATGATTGCCTTTGGAGGGTAGGAAATATTCATATGTAAGTGTGCTCAATAATCTAGATCAGTGATTCTCAGGCATGGTGCCAGGACACACTAGGCTGCCATCAAATAATTTAAAGTATGCCTCCAGAAGTGAGGAAATAAGCAAGGTATGGGCAGATAAGCAGGTAAGCTCAGCAGATAAGCACAAGGTCAAGCTTATCCCTGTCTGGATGATCCTTACCCTTCTGCAAGGAAGTAATCCCTGTAATATATATATATATTTTTTATATTGGGTACCACTTAATTTACAAAAGTTATGGAGGGGTGTCTTGAGTCCCATGAGGGGTGCCTCAATTCCAAAAAAGCTGAGAACCACTGATCTTGATCCTAAAAGTACCTGCATATCCAGCTGACTGCACTCCCTCGATACATCTCTGGTTTTTGAGTGATCTCAAGGCAGAACAGGGATTTCAGGGACTAGTAACTGACTGCTATTAATAAAACTGAACTCCATTGCATTGATTTAACCATCTGCCTCTCTCCTCTTCTTTACCACTGCTCCACCCAGACTAAGGATTTGTCCTGGTTATGAAAAACGGTATATGCTCTTATCCCTAGAAGTCATCAGTCAAACTTAAGCACTGAAGGTGGGGTAGAGTGGCACCTTAGGAAATAACTGAACTAGCTGGTTCAGGCATGAACTGCCTCTCTCAACCAGGTTGTCTCTACGTATAGAAACAGGTGTCACTGGACATCATGTTTGTGCCATGATAAGAATGTTTATGGCGGCATAAATGGTGACCAAATACATGTCTCTACCCTGTCTGTCATGCCATGTCAGGGGCTGCAGCAAAATATAGTGTAAAATAATGCAGCCTTATTGCAGAAGACATCTATTTGCTTTATAGCAGGAGAGTGCAGGCAGCCTGCATTCTCCAATCGTCTCAGGTAGGTACTGTGGAGGCTTGAGGAGTCCGATCCTGCCTACCCCAGGAATTCCCATGCAGGATTCATCCCCTCAAACCTGGGGAGTGCCTGCCCAGCTTTTCCCTACTTAGAGACATGCCCTGGGGAATCTCAGGGCACCTCTCTGTAAGCAGGGAAAGTGAGGGTTCCCTGCATAAGGAAACCCAGCCCAAGATCTCCAGGGGTGCATCTTCAAAAGTGAGGAAATCCTGCGCAGATCCTGGTATGGAGACATGGGACCCAGGAATTCCCAGTGGCCCGTGTTCCCCATGCTAGGACCTACACTGACTGATGCTTCACTCAGAGGCATGGGTTGGCACAGGTCCCAGCATGAAAGCACAGGTTGGCACAGCTCTTACCATAGGTTAGCACAGGTCCTGTGCCATGGGGTGGTATGGGACCCAGGAAATTCCCAGTGCTCCAAACTTCCACACCAAGACCTGCTCTAATCCATGCCTCTGCTTGAAGCAGAGGTCAGCACAGGACCCAGCATAGATGCCAACATGGAGGCACATTATGCCAGGAACTGCCCAGTTCCTGTGCTGCCCCACGCCTCCTTGCCGGGACTCACGCCACCCCATGGAGGCAGTGGTCAGCATGAGTGTCTGCATGGAAGCACGGGGCACCAGAGATTTCCTGGGTCCCGTGTTGGTCTACGCTGTCGCATACCAGAACCTCTGCCAACCCCCGCTTCTGCATGAGGCTCACATTGGCATGGGTTCCAGCAAAGAGGCACGGGGCAGTGAGAAACACAGGGAATCCCCAGCGAAAAGAAACCCATTTCCCAATAAAGTAGCTCCACTGTGGTAGGACACATCCCACCAGAGCTGATCAACTTCACTTGGTGATGTCTGTTGTTACCCTAAGGTGCTGCCCTGCCCTGCCTTCTGCCTGACTTCAGACTAACACAGCTAACCACCTCCACCTAGTCATCTTGGAGGGGCACTGTACAGTGCAGGTTGTAAGGGAAGCAGAAGCCTGGAGTCTACAAGGCTGGCCTTTTTTAGGAACAGAAACTTTATTTACCTTTCCTCTTAAACTGTGAAAAAACATCACCCCCACCCCTACACACACATCCCTGCTCCCTTCAGAAATGTAATCACAGATTCTGCACCTGAGGCAGGTGAACTCTTGTAGTTATTGAGGAACTGAAAGAAACAGTTATTCAAAGTCAGACCACGGGGCAAATCTAGTCATTCAAAACAAAGTTGTTTTAGCTCTTTACACTCGTGAGGGTGTTAAAGGCACCAGGTTGCCATTTTCAGTGACTTCCCTTTTCACAAAGATTTGTTCTTCTTGCTCCATGGCTGTTTGCTGTAAGTGGTTTGGTGATAGAGGACAAACAGATGATCTCTCAAATAGCTATCCAAACCCTAGGACAGGCCTCTGTTGGCCTGATTTTGCACCGGTATAGCTTCACTGATTAATGTGAATTGACCCTGGCTTACATGAGATTAGAATGAGGCCCAGCTGCCTTAGGTAAAGTACATGATGACATCTTCAATTATCTGAAGCTCTAGAAAAAGCAGTTGACTTTCCTACAAATGCCACTTCTTAAAGGAGAAAGGAAGTAAAGTTATCTGGTTGTGAAATCTCCCTTTTTAAAGAGATGAGGAACAAGACAGGGGGTTAAAGAGCTTTTAGTTTTTCTGATTGAAATAAATGGGGCAATCATTGGCTAATGCCAAGGTTACAGGCAGCTTGGGAATCATGCCAGGAAATAGATAGTGTTGTTTAAAGGAATCCTGCTACCTCTCACCGTGGAAGGGACAACTAAATGAGAGAGGCCTCAGACTTAAAGGAGCTGCTCCCACCCCTCTCATGACGGGAGGCTGGGCTAAATGTAAATTGCAGCTGACAGCTGAATTCCTGAGCTGGCTGCAGGAGGAAGTTTGCTGGTACTTGCAGACTTCACTGGTGCTCCAGAAACATTTTTAGATCTGGTGCAGTTGTTGTTTTCTATCATAGGCTGAGTATTTGGATTCCGTTTCTCGCATGGTTTTGCCATGACACTGCTCCTCTGGTGATCCTTTTTTCCCCTTGTGTCTGTGAGTATCTTGATTGCTTCCAAACTTAATAGAACACTTGCTGGAATTTCTTTTAGTTTCCATGGTTGAAATGTTATGACAGCTGGCTCCCTCCTCCCTCATCATGCCCACCTATATTCCTTGAAAGGTTATTGCTAAAGAGCAGAAATGTGGTGTGAACAGAAGGAATCGCTGAGGACATCCTGTCTTACCTGTTTAGCAGGAAAAGTGGTGATATGTGAAATTTCAGTATATGCTCAATCTAGGCTAGTACAAAACAAAACCAGTTCAGTTCACATTAGCTCTCTTAACAAACCTAGTTCTTGAATCTGGCATCATAGGGTGTTAGACTGCTTGCATGAGTGCAGGATTGGGCTCTGTTCTCAAGATGCCTAGTCTGACAGGTCTTTACAAACCCTAGAGTTTAAGGGAAACTCTGCCAACAGCTCCCATGCCTAAACACAGCTGCTCCTCCTGCAAGTCCAAATGGTAAAGAGGAAATATCCTTCCCATTCAGCAGTAAAAGGAAAGATTATGGGATAAACCTGTTCTCTCATCTAAAATGCCATGGGATCCTTCCTGTCTACAGAGAGCAGAGAGCACTTCAGTCTGTAAGGTCTTGACTGAGATTCTGAACTGTGCCTAAAAGGCCCAGCCCAGGGGGCTGAAATGACACAGGCTATTCTATGCAACTTCTGTGCCTTTCCACATCTGGGCTGCTTCAGAAACTAAAATAATCCCTAAAAAAATGTAGGTAAGCCGGGGTGGCTCTAAATATGGGTACCGTCTCCAACTAAAAGAATGGGTATTGTGTCTTCCGCTAAAACACTATTCTGAAAGTCTCTCTCAGTGCATGTACATAAGACACTTTACTACACATTGAACTCATCAAATATATGCGTAGGACTTACTGCACAGTAAATTAAGCCAATGCACCATTTGCTACTGCCAACAAATACAGGGACTAGATTAATGGTGCGTTAGCTATTGCACAGTAGTGCATGTATAGATGCTGACTGGGAGCAATTTACAGCTCTAGTGGTGCTCAGCTCCTGGCTCCCTTGAGGACCCTGGAGCTGAGTAGCACCAGAATGGGGGAGCTCTCTGTCCCTGGGCCCAGCACTACTCAGATCCTGGCTGCCCCCAGGAGCTGAGCATACCAGGACAGGGAAGCTCTTCTCTGTCTGTGGCTTTGATGCTGCTTAGGTCCCAGCTCCCCCCAGGCATGAGTGTGGAGCAGGAGCCAACTGGGATGTGCACTGCACAGGCAGCAGCAGGACTGAGGGACAAAGAGCTCCAGGGGAGCAATGGGGAGGTGCAAGGCACTGCTTCCCTTTGTGTCTCCCCCCCACCCCTTGAGTCCCAATGCTGTTTCCACCACATATCTGCCCCCTGGTCCCAGCGTTGCTTTCTGTCATGTTTACCCCCCAGTTCTGGCGCTGCTTCCCCCCACACTTGGGCACAGGGCATCACTCAAA